AAACAATTGTATCAGAAGGTGGCTCAGACCTCAAGTTTAACACTTCCCCAAGTCCCGAGCCTATCAGCATACACAGATTCTCACAGAATCTCCACAACTGCGTAAACCAAGCTGTTGAAATGAATCTTTCTTCCTCCCTCCCAGCTTTGTCTGTTCTTGTGTCTGTACATAACTTCTATTGATTGTCACCATCTGGAGAACACCAATTAATGCATTCTTTTTATTTCTTGAAGGTCACTGAGAAAATGTTTTCTCCTTAGAAACACTTTCACTAATGAAAGCTTGGGCTTGATAATTTGACAGGATTCCTAATCACCTAGGAGACACACTTTTAGGTATGTCTGTGAGAGAGTTTTTTTTTTTTTTTTTTTTTTTCGAGACAGGGTTTCTCTGTGTAGCCCTGGCTGCCCTGGAACTCACTCTGTAGACCAGGCTGGTCTTGAACTCAGAAACCTGCCTGCCTCTGCCTCCCAAGTGCTGGGATTAAAGGCGTGCACCACCACCGCCTGGCAAGAGAGTATTTCTAAAGATGAATAATTGACAGGAGAAGACCCACCTCCATGTGACTGGCACCCTACAAGGTGTGGCCCAGACATAGAGAAGCTGAAGGAACTTCCGAGACATCCAGCTTTTTGCACAGGAGCAATCCATCTTTAAATGGATGTACTATATATATCCATGCCCAGGCTCAAGTATATCCTGAAGGCATGTGTGAGTTATATGAATAAGTGGCCCAAATGGCTATGGGTCCTCTTTCTGCTGCAGTCTCCTCCACTCCCAAGCATGTACCTATGTCCTCATGAGATCTTGTGTATGATTGTAGAGAAAGAGAAGACTGACTGGGCCTGGTCTATGGATGGCTCAGAACACTGTGAAGGTACTGCCTGGGAAATGACATCTACAGGATCACAGCACGTGTTGTGGTTTAATGTGAAAAGTTCCCCCTCATAAGTGCTCATGTTTGCACACACACACACACACACACACACACAAACACACACACACGCAGGCTTTGTAGCCTGGTCCCACTTCCTGCTCACTCCTTGGTTACTGAGTGCAGGGGTAATATAACCAATCAACCAATCATCTTCCTGCTTCTGCCTCCTCACCTTCCCTGCCTGCTGCCGTGTCTTTTCCACCACCATGGACTGTATCTCTCCAAAACAGTAAGCCAAAACAAACCCTTTCTCCCATAAGTTGCTTCTGTCGGGATATTTTAATTGTACCAGTTAGTAAGTAACTAAGATGACACGAAACCAACACTTCTGTTTTTATTAGGGGGCAAATGGAGCCCAAGAACACTGACCTCCTCTACGGATCAATCCACTGATGAACTCACAGAAGAGTGGGCTGTCAGGAGGTAGGGACTAGGTGGAGGTGTGGATCTCTGTTCTCTCTTTCCCTCCTTTTCCCTCTCCCTCCTGATTTCTTGGAAGAGACAAGCTTTCCTTTACTATGAGCTTCCTCCATGACACGTCTGCCTTGCCAACAGACCTAACAACAATGCCCAGGGACAGTCATTGACTTAAACCTATGAGACCATAAACCAAAATTTCTTCTCCTAAGCTATTTTGTCACAGCAATAAAAAAGTAATACACTGTTCATCTTAGACTATGATGAGAAAGAGATATATATATATTTATATATATATGTATTTATATATATATATATGTGTGTGTGTGTGTGTGTAGATAGATAGATAGATAGATAGATAGATAGATAGATAGATAGATAGATAGATGGAAAGAGAAGAGGCAATTCATAAAAGTATTTGGTCAACTGTAGTGAATTACAGTGAAGGTGTCAGTCAACACTTGTTCACAGGATGACAGCTGGGTCAGCTATGAGTGTTCATCACCAGATCCAGAGCTTGGTGATGGGATGGGCCACTGCCAGTGTTAGAGCAGAGGCATCCTTCCTGTGGTGTGGTTTTCACGGATCTGATCCTATAGACCAGTGGTTCTCAAACTTCCTAATGCTACAACCATTTAATACAGTTACTCATGTTGTGGTGACCCCTAACCATAAAACTATTTCATTGCTACTTCATAACTGCAATTTTGGTACTGTTATGAATCGTAATGTAAATATCTGATATACAGGATATCGGATATATGACCCCTCAAAGGAGTCACCACCCACAGGTTGAAAAAATCACTCATCTTGCCTCCATGGGTGACTGCCCACGTTTCTAGCTTGGTTCTTCATCCTGTCCTTTTGTCCATTTTGTTTAAAATTTATTAGTATTTTATTTTATTTAAGATTTATTACAGCCGGGCAGTGGTGGCGCATGCCTTTAATCCCAGCCCTTGGGAGGCAGAGATAGATTTCTGAGTTCGAGGCCAGCCTGGTCTACAGAGTGAGTTCCAGGACAGCCAGGGCTACACAGAGAAACTCTGTCTCGAAAAAAACAAAAACAAACAAACAAACAAACAAAACAGATTTATTACACACACACACACACACACACACACACACACACACCCCTGCGTGTGCCATGTATGTGCTGGTACATGTGGAGGCCAGAAGGCAGCAGCATATCCACTTAGAGCTGGCATTACAGAATGTTATAAGCTGCCCAGTGTGGGTGCTAGAAATTAAACTCAGGGCCTCTGGAGGAGGAGCATGCACTTTTAACTGCAGAGCTGTGTCTCGAGCCTTCTTTTCTTACTTCTGTTGACTCAGTGAGCTCCTCAAGGATCTTTCAATGCATTCCATTTGTGCTTCAGTTACTCAGTACCAGTTTTTGTTACCGCTGAAGACCCTAGCAGCCTAATTAGTCCATCATTTTTAGATATATTTAATCCCAAAGAATCCGATCTTGTAGCTTATAGTACGTGTCTCTAAATAGCACCACGGTTAATTTTGCAACTGGTTGAGGAGTTCTATCTGGTTCCCCTTAAGTCTTGTATGGCTCAGGAAAAAAGAAGACATGGCAGAGAGAAGGTGTAGCTGTCTTTTGATTTTCAAAATATCTGTAGTCCCATTTCATCATTTCTACTCTCTCTCCCTCCCTCCCTCTCTCCCTCCCCCTCCCCCCTCTGACTTTCACAATTCTTAGTTTGTGCTCTCTGATCCACCCACTTAACAAACACTAACTCAGTGCTAAAGGTGTCTTCGGCAGTATGCCAGGTACTGAGAAAATCCAAAGATCAGTGAGAAATAATCTCAAGAATATGCTTCTGATGCTGGGCGGTGGTGGCGCACGTCTTTAATCCCAGCACTTGGGAGGCAGAGACAGGTGGATTTCTGAGTTCGAGGCCAGCCTGGTCTACAGAGTGAGTTCCAGGACAGCCAGGGCTACACAGAGAAACCCTGTCTCGAAAAAAAACCCAGAGAGAGAGAGAGAGAGAGAGAGAGAGAGAGAGAGAGAGAGAGAGAG